CGTAATTATCCTTTTATGTTGACTCCCATTTTCCCCGGTCTGTGAATAATTCCCTCTGCCTCTCAGTCACTTCCATTAAAGTCACGGCAAGTAATAACTTCTGCAACGAATTTCATATACTTTGACTCGCATCTTGGCATTGTACGTGAAAAGAAGTCAAATCATCCACACACGTATTTCCATTGCAAACACCCAGCTTTCTGTCCTGATGATGAAATGTCTTTTTGAGGAGTGAGTGCTCCTGCTAGAGTCTATAGTAGTAAAATAACGTTAAACTATCAGACTAAAAAGTGCAGCATCGCTCTGCTCAATATTTCCTGATTATCTACATCTACATCCTGTTTCTTTGGCATAAGTGGAGCAATTTTGTGCTCTGAAAGCAAAACTTACAGCCTTACAGCTTTCAATTTTATCAGTAACTTAATAAATACATTCAATACCAGTAAAAATACAGTTATAACTATGTTTCTACTCATTATTGACAGTAAATACCACTGGCATTACTGATATTGTAGTCTATTTCCAACAACGCAGGACGTACCACTTACGTTCGACCACCCCTGGACTTGACCTCCACCTGTACACTCTTTCTGTGGTATAAACCAACGTACATCCCATCACCCGACAGTAAATCATATCTGTTCTGTTCTCTTGGTCTGTCTCTCTCCTCTCATCTGTCCCGTATTGATTAGCTGGGCAGGCCTCTGTGAGGTGCTCAGTTCATTGATCACGGCCGCCTCTTAGATCCTCCAGTCCTCTTTAACCGACCTTCAGAGACCTACATTGCAGTGACAACAGAAATGGTCTTTGCCATGAACACTAACTAGTCTTAATGAAAGGGTGTATTATCAGGATCACTGAACAGGACACAAAATCAAACGCGAGTTAGTGACTTGTAAAGCACATCTAATTCAAAATTCCCCAATGTGTTGCTAGGTGCAGACAGATTTTCAACCAAAAATAGCCAAAGCTTAGTCCAAAATTGCACCAAACACACGTAGGATATCAAAGAGAAAAGTAGGTAATATTGGCATGAGCCTGCAGCGGCTTTGGCATGTAGCTAGCGATTCAGTGACGTCCTTATTATAAACCAAGTCAATAGCAGATTATGGTAATGTGATATATAACTGAGGGGAACAGTGACTAATGCTCTCCATGTACACACAGCACCCCTGGCAGTTATTTTTAACCACTGGTAACATGTAAAATGAGCAAGTGCTTGCTCTCTGAAAATATGAAAACAAAGGCACATATAGAAGAAGAGCCGATCAATATTAATAAATGATGCAAACAAGTGTTCTACCACTTTACTTGACTAAGTTTGTGTTTGTAAGAAAGACAAATGCAAATAAGCTCCAGTATCTTGTCTCACATTATGATGACAGTTTTGCCGTTGTCATTACTACCCTGATGACTCCACAGGCGGGAAATTAAATGAATCACTACGCCATCAACCTTCAGTGTTTCTGTCGATTATGTTTTTCCTTTTCTCTCCACTATGTTTTCTCTTTCACCTTTGCCATAGTCCACCCAACGCCCCCAAACTCCTGCCCTTTTTCTCCTGCTCTTTAGGCAGGTGCCAGCGAGTGTGTGTGCAAGCATGTGTGTACGTGTGTGTGTGTGTGTGTGTGTGTGTGTGGAAGGGCTTGCTTCTAGAGGAAGTGGCTAGCCATAAGAGCCAGCTGATGAGTATCACCCTCATCCGGCGCTCCATTCATTCCCGTGCACAAAGGCTCATTCACCCACTGCTTTTCACAGTGTGTGGACCCCGAGAGCCCCGGGCACGTTCCCACACTCACACACGCTGACAGAGGTGAACTGTCACTCACTCAAGACATGCTACACACAGATGCCAGAACGGGCACCCAGTTGCAGACACACACACACACATACACACACACACACACACACACACTCCTCCACACTGGCATTCTAAATAGAAATCCAGGAATAGGCAGGCTTTTCTCATCCGACTCATTATAAACAGGCCCTGGAGCCCTTCTTCTTTCCTTACAAAAACATCTCTATAGCCTCGGCATCCAAATACTCTTTTTAGAACGAATGACACACAGCAGGAGGAGATGTCACTTCCACTTTTGCCATCTACCTCCGCTGCGAATCGTTCTGACACGTTCGTACCACAGCCCACCATCATACCCATGGACTGCAGTGATATTCGTGACACGATGAAGAGAAGTTGTCATATTTGATGGCATCGCACTCGGAAGACAGAGAGGGGGTGACTGGATGGAGGATAAATTTGTGGATATCCCGCTTGCTGACAGTGCCTGGATCTAGTTAAGCTCTGGTAAAACCTGAATAATTGGCAGTGATCCTTGACCCAATAATTTCGATTTTCGAGTACTTTCCTGAAAACTCCCAGACCAGGATATGTAATCAGTGAAAGTATTTCTTTTGCAAAAGATCTGCTGTTACACTTTCACCAAATTTCTTTATTGATTTTGGAAACAATTCTACCAACTGCCTGAATAAAAAGATAGAGAAAATCACTTAAAGGAAGGCACGCCATGCTGCATGTTAGCCAATTGAGTCCTTATTGATGTATTGTTCTTTAACAGCCTACTGTATGTATGCTGTTGTCTCTCCACTGGGTGTACGCTGTGACTAACACATTATTGGAACTCCCCCCCCAACCGACATAGCGACATCCCTGGTAAATGTTCAGGAACAGCCTGACCCTCATATTCACATCACATTCCCTTCTGAGCATAGGACGATCTCATTAATGAGGGCATCTTGGGTGTGTTTACATTTCATTACGCAGCTCAGCCTGGCTCCCTGGCCTAAATGGCTTTTTTGGGGGGTGGTGTAGGTTTTCAAATGTTTTCTGCAGCTTGAAAGGCATCTCAGCAAAATTATATACATTGTAAAGCCAACTCTGGACAGAAACAACTTCACTAAGCCTGCATTTTTATGACAGGTAGGATAATTATACTAAATAATATTAAAGTGCAGACAAGAACACATTTCCGTTTAGTGGCAGAAGTGCTCAACATTTGGACAACACTGAATGTCTATAAATCTGTGTGAGTGCTGTTGCACTTAATGCTTTATTTCCAATCCCATTCTAAGCTCACAACTGAATCGAACTGAATTAAGAACTGCTCCAACCACATTACATTAAACCTATGTGTGGGAAAGTCTCCTAGACACACCTATTTGAACATTCACTGGCTTCTGTCAATCTTAATAATCGCCTATGAGTGACTACCAATTTCCACCAAGGTGGCTCCATGAGATAGTTAACAAGCAGGTGTTCAACTTTTTGGACTTTTAGTTGCAGTATGGAGTTTTAAAAAGCTGCTTGTTGCTGTGGTGTGTGCAAGCAGCTATTTGTAAGTGGCAGATATTTCTATTAGTAAGTGTATGGTTCATTAAGTTAACAATGCTTAGTATGATGTTCCTCCCAATTACATATAGTTTAAATAAAAATATAATAATTTTTATAGAGCTTGTGTAGTTCAACAAATTCAAATAAAAAATTTCCATTACTGCTAATAAGTGTAAGTGATAGAAACCATAGTGTATTTTAAAGTGTAATTTTTAAGTCTCCATATCCACACAATGGGTAGATATTTGCTTATTATTAGGGTTTATTTACTTTAAGATAATTATGCTTGGTTTCTTTGCTTATCTGTTCTTTTGTATAGAATCATACACTAATCAACAAGTGGAGTGTGTTGACTGGTGTGGTGACTGGTGTATTCATTGAATATCTTAAAAAACAACTCGTCCCTGACCAGACGTCTGTGGCTATTCAACATACCCACCCATGAAATGTAAGAGAGTCAGTTCCTAAGACTCAGAGTCAGAATGTCATCATGTTTTTTCCCCACTCCTGTCTGTATTCTGTGAGCTACGATAGATATCTGTGACTGCGCCCACTGAGCCAATCTCACACACCTAGCAGAGAGACGGGAAGCCGTAGTTGTCAAAGAGTGTGAGTGAGCCACAGGCAAATTCAGAAGAGTCGAGGATGGAATGAGAAAAACATGGCTGAAAAGCCTCAAGGGAGACACAGTCTTGTCAGAATACAAAAGAGGGATAAGTACAGAGTTAACAAAGAAGAAACAATTTTCACTTTCTTTTGTAAAGCCCAAAAATTGAGTTTTTGTCTGACATAATGGCACACATTATCACCCACAGAAGAATGGCTTCTCCACTGCTTGGACCAAGGACAAGGAATCTGTGAACTTTCTTGGCCATAAATCTTGCATCCCATTGCCAACATGCTATTATTAGTATTATTTTATTGTAATTTAAAATGTCACAATTATTACTCAAGTGAATATAGGCTATTAAAGATACTCTCAACCCTGTCTCTTATAGCTGCATATACACATCAATAAAGATCAGATTAGAGAGATCAGGCAGGTAATCCTAATGTAGTAAAAGTTGAAATGTGTATTGTGTGTGCGTGCATGCGCGCATGTCTCTGTAAAGGTTTTAGGGTGGGAGGGGACAGAGTGTGTGTTCTGCCAAAAAAAAAGATAATCGGATTGTGATCCGTGGCTAATTAGAAATGCATTTAGAGTCGTTGCCCCTCTTTGTTCGCATCCCCTGTGAGCCCTGATCTTCGCCCTGGCTCTTTGTTTTCTACTTCGATTTAAAGAAGGAAGGGCGCACAGAGATCAGTGGTTCATATAGCTGTAAAACCTGATGTTATATGACTGTATGGCGTCTACTGCTGCTGCAGACGCTGGTTTGAAACCCCCGTTGCTTCCCCGGAGCGCAACATCACGCTGCAGTCATGCGGCGGAAAGCAGAGGAAAAAAGTCCTTCGCGGTCCCATGCAACAGTTAAGATGAACCAACTGACAAGTGCATTAGGCCAATAATATATGCGAATATAGCAGGTTTTAGACTCATGGAGTTTTCCGCTCTTTATGAAGTCGACAAACAGGTTGAGGGGATGGATAAGCGGGCTGAACATGGAAAATGCCAGCAAACTGAATCCGCTTCCAGTGAGATAATACTTACAGGCATATGTCATGGAGAAGCTATTCCCCATCTTGACCATATCCACCTGCGGCACCAGTTTGGGGATGTCCTGGTGGTGAGAGAGGGCGAAACGAAAAACCTCATATTCGTGCGATTCGATCGGGAACAATCCTCCTGTTGAGCAGCAAAGAATCAGGAGTTAACGTTGGACACACCGGACCCGACGGCAAAGCAGGGGAAACACACAAACATAAAAAAGAGACACGAGGTAAAACTTGAAATAGGGGTATAGAGGTTTTAATGCTGAGACAAAAGGTCTGACGCGTGTGCGCCATTCTCACCTATATTGATGTTACTTGGAAAACTTGAGCTTGAACCCAAGCACATCCCCAGTAAACTGGTGTAGAGGATGGTGAAGCTTCGCTGCATATTTCCTTTTTCATTGGCGAAGGGGAAAAAGCCGAAATCCAAGCATAGGTTTGTCCGCCTGCGAAGTTAAATTCCCCGCGTCCCCGCCACTCCTATCGCCTCCTGTTAGAGCAGCATTCACACCGACATCGATTCAACAGCGAGATAATTATCGCAATGGCGAGAGGAGGCACCTTTCTCTCTCCTCTTTCCCCTCTCTCTCTGCTGATGCTCCCGTGTCCTTGGCTGCTGTTGTATGAGAAGGAGAAATGACTTCAGCATTAGCCGCACTGCAAAAAAATGTGCCCGTCTTGAAAAAGCTGTTGATTCTCAATGTCAATTTTTTTTTTTAAATTCCTCTTAAAACAGCGGATTTCTTCTCCGCACAATCGGGCGATATGATTTCCCTTGATTCTTGTTTGCAGAAAAATCTCGGTTCTATCAAGAAATGTCTGGAAACAAGTGCCACTGCAACAAGCAACAGCAGATTGCTCAAAAAGGAAATGACATAGCCTGTCCACAAATGACAAACATTCATTTAAAACAAAGAGAAAATAAGCGACATTTTCTCACCTTATTGAAGGGTATCTTCACCCCTCAAAAAAGAAAATAAGAACACTTGCACATTCAGTGCCTAACTGATTAAAAGACTTGCGGGATGGATTTTTTTTGCAGTGTACACCCTCAGAGCGCACCCTCAGGTCCCTCGGGAGACGCACGGGAATTCATGGATGTCCATTCACTTCCCTGCACTGCAAAAAGTATCCACATTGCTATAAACCATATATTTATAGTGTGCTTTTATTTTATAGTAAACCACTTTGTGCAATATTCAAAACAATTCAAGAGAAAACTGTGTTAAAGTGTTGCCTGTATACAGCATCTTGAATTTCTTGTAGGCCTAGTAACACACTTACCCAGAAGACATTTCTTTAAGGAGCACATGTAGGTAAATATTGGGTTTTTAGTATCTGCATATATAATTCTATATAACTCAAACGAGTGTAATTCCCACATTTCATTATATGATCTTAAACAAGAATGAACCCTTGAATCTCAATTTTCAAGCTAAAATGAATGAAAAGTCCTTAAAGTGGTCATATAAAAATGGAAATCTGAACATGGACAACACCATGACAACTTAGCAAACTGAGAAAGGTCATGTGATTTGACTGAAAGCTCAGAAAACAGCTACTAAATGGACCCTCTGGTGAGGCTGTTTTCTCAACAGCTGTTTTTAAAATCAAGCATGAACTTCAAACTTCAGCTTTGTCTCATTGCAAAGAGAAGCAAGATCTCTGAGATCATCACAGCCGAGCTGTCAGATTGGAAAAGATCTGATGCAAATGGTTTCAGTCTGATTTATATTCAATAAACAACAGCATGGGACAGTTAACATGTAAACGGTACTTTGATATATTGTCAGTTTTAAAGTTTAAAGGTTCAGTGCGTATTATTTCTGAGGATGTATTGACAGAAATGCAATATATGATCCATAACAATGTTTTCAGTGGTGTATAAAGACCTTAAATAATGAACCGTTATGTTTTTATTACCTTAGAATGAGCCATTTCTATCTACATACGCTGCAGGTCCCCCTTGGAGGTCGGCATGTAGCGCAGCCATGTTTCTACAGTAGCCAAAAAATGGACAAACTTCTGTACACAGCGCGTTTCTTAATTACGTTGTTCTTCTTTCTGTATAATTCCGGCAGTGTAGATACTCGTCACTACGTTGAATGTGTACGAAGAAGAAGAAGAGGAAATAATAAATATAACAGTCTCTGTGTAGACATCTGGTTTATCAGAAGTTAGAAGAGAAGTGAAATTTGGACAAATGGAGGAGCACATGTATTATTTAGCACGCGCCGACGGAGCGTGAATCTTCGTCATCGAAGAAGTGAAAACATAATGAAGCCAGACCAAGTTGGGACAGGTGCAGACAGAAATCACGGATATAAACATCGTTGTGGATTTTCCCAGATGGAAGGTTGTTGCTATAAATGTTTTTACAGCAGCGCTGAAATTGCCTGTTTTCTGTTGGGCAGGTAATTAGTCTAAATTTAGCAATGCAAATGAAAACTGTTGTTTGATAGATTTAGGTATAGAAGATGGGCACAATCACAGAGAGAAATTATGTTATTTCCTTGTCAATGTTGTAAAATATGTAGTTGGATTCATTTCATGTAACAGCTTATTACAACCCATATTTAGATTATGGAAGAAGTCATGTGACTTATGTACATGTAGGGAAGTGGTGGGGAGGATGGGTGTTTCAAGTTCAATAACATTTTGTAGGTAACTTATATCACGTGACTTATATTACTTTCGTAACAGCCCACCCTCACCAGAAAAACGGCTGTGTAGGTCGACTATGCAGCAGCTTATTACAGCCCATATTTACGTTTTTTGTTAGGCTGCTACCTCTAGTGGCAGAAGAAGTCTGGTGAGGTAGTATTAGAGCAACAAGTCCTCCTAAGTTAAAAAACGTTTCAGTTAAGTGACTTACATTACTTACGTCACATGACTTACTTAATGTACTTATATTATATTATAAACATGATTTTTAACCTAAACCTAACCAAGCAGTTTATTTACATTGTTTTTTTTTATTAAACCTTTTTCTAACCAGGCTGGACAACTTCTTATTTACAAGTAGTTTTGCTACATAAACTTATACAAACTCTGACCTTTTCACAGCGTTTACAACTTGTTACAGTTTTTCTCAGTTGCTTTGGTCCATTTACTCAGATCAGAATTGAAATTCTCAAACCTACACGTTCAACCTCCACATCATCTTGTCACTTGTGCGCATCATAAAAGCAATTTCACATTATATTGAACAAATTAAAAATGCTTTGACACATTGGTGCAAATGATCATGTACAATTGTCTGCTGTTTCCTACATTATCAATTTCTTATGTCATGTTGGTCACAATGTATTATACTGATGTTGACTGTTGAATAGGCTTACACCCCAAAACATCTAGGCATAAATAGAAAAATTACTGACATGTTGTCAAATTCAAAGTTGTCATTCTTCACATACAAGTATACAGCTGAACAAAATTTTGTTTCGTACGGACCAAGGTGCATCCAGCCAATGAGAGAAGGCAGGGGGCAGAGCAGGCAGCTGCTTTTTATTACAAAATATTTTCTACTCACCTCCTCCTCTCTCCAATCCCTGCTGCTACATTGTGCTAATCCATTGTTTCACCCATTATCTTTGTATTTTCCTTTTTCGTGTTTTATGGTATCTAAACTAAAAAATTATAAACTGTATAAAGTAAACAACTCCTGATAGCACGTGGTTTCACATAATTTCCTGTGCCTTTTTTATCATTTAGGTATGAGGACGTGTTGCTTTGACATCACCGGGAGCTTAAAGGCCATTTAAAATGCAAGTAAAATTTCCAGAGTTGTGGAAGTTTTAAAATGGGCAAGTATGCTAGGGAAATTGGGCTTAATATTATAAGACTTTATCCTTTAAACTGGCTCGGTTTAATATAAAATTTTCGAATTCTGAATGTGAAAGAGGACTGCTGCTGTTCATGCTCCCTCTCACACAGGGCAGGACTGGCGAGCAGCTGATAAGGGGGGTTATGATTTAAACCATGTACTTACAGGCAGCTAAAGCCAATTATTTCCTGAAGAAAAGGTACATGCACCCTTGCTTTTGTACACACTGTAAAACTAACCAACACTTTGCGATATTCACGTGAGATTGATTGCAAACCACACTGTGGTGTGATGCCCCAGTGCTTGTTTAGAAAATGAGGTGGTAAATCCTGCCTTTGACACAATTAGGATTAGGGATGAGCTTACTTATCAGACCAAGGCAGGGGTACTTTCCTTAGTTAAAATCACTTTCCCCACCTATTGTTTCCACAACAGGAAGGCAGGCATTAACTCATTTCTCCCAGAAAATGAAATTTAGAAGATTAGAAGCTTATGCTGAATTAGATTTTGAGTGTTTCCAATTGAGCAGAAACATTTCTGATAAACAGTATGACTCTTGCTGCAGCGCTTTGCACACTTGAGCAATAGAAATGCAGGAAGTAAAAAGGTTATCTAATTTAAGAATGATAGATGTCCCATAAATACAGGAAGAATGGTCAATTTTCCTTGCCTTTGATTAAATTGATGAGGGTTTAGCTCAAACACAAATAGTTGGGCAGGCTTTTATTACAATACTTCAGTATTTTCAGACATCTTTTGGCTTTTCCTTCTCTGTGTGCAAGAACATATTTGATTTATGCATATTTTCACAACCTATTCATAGTGCTTATTTCAGTGTTTGGGTGTGCTTTGTGTGTGGGTTTGCCTGCAGTGCCCCATGTGTAATGAGTGCCATGCAATCTTTTTTTTAAATCCTGATTAATGCAAATGCATCTTAGAATAGCACTAGTAACGATGGCTAAATATTCTATGGCGCTGAGTAGAAGAATAACAATCACAGAGCTTGTTGTTCTAGGTTAAAAATATCATCACCATCAGACAGACACTAGGTAGCAGAAATGAGGAAACGCAATGTCTTTTTGTTCCTAAAGATGTCTTCATCATAGATCATAATGTGAGTGTCTGTCTGGGGTTTTTTAATAGAAGTCAATGGGAAGAGTATAATGAGGCTAATCCGTCAAAATCAGCTGGTTCCACTCCAGTTTGAATGAGGAGTGGGGAAAAAAAAAAGAAAAACTCCCTAGCATGTTATTCCTATAATTGAGCCACTGCACTTGTGCTGTCAAGTACTTGTGTACGTCATACTGCTGGAGGCAAAACTATATAAAAAAATTGTTGTTACAGAGTTGACAGAGGAACAAAATATGTCAAACAGACCAAACAGTAGATGTGGAGTAGCAAAATAATGTCAACCTGCCATAGATAGGTCTCCAGGGGCCACCGAAAATATTGGCAGTGTAAACAAAGATTCTGGCGGGAATGGTGTTGGATATGGTTGGATGATACACCTAAAAACTATTTTGTCATATTATGTGGGACACATTGCTTACTTAACATAAATGAATTAATATTTGCGAATGAAACAACTATAGGTCAGTTATAGTGCTGAAAACATGCTTCATCACCAAACTCTTTTGCTCTGCAAAGCATTTTAGCCTGTATTTTACCTGATAGTTATGGTTCCACATTGAAACAGAGCTAAAAGATCAATAAATGCTGGACTTACATTTGTCTGGTGGCCACAAAGATGACTCCAAATCAATGTTGCTCAATGTGTCTGTGGTATGTGAAAATAGGAAATGGTTAGCTAACATGTTAGCCAAAACAGCTTCATAAGCTGGAGTAAGGTGGTAGTGGGAAAAACAAAATGAGGCTTGTTTGACAGCTTATTAGTTTTCTGCCTCCAGGTGGCCAAAAATCTGTTAAAGCTTTAATTAATTGTAACAAAGACAATCAGCATAACTTATATTGTTTACTGTCTGAAGAGACCATAACACTACACAAGGTATGC